TGCGAGGGGTGTGGTTTTCAGCATAAGAGAATTTCTTATTAAAGATTCACTGCTGTTTTATTTTTAAAAATATGATAATGAATTATTTTCTATACACTTTAACAAAATAAAAAAGGAGGAAAAAAAAAAAAAGAATAAATAAAGACAGCATCACAAGTTTCAGAATCTAATTTCCTTATTCTTAAAAACAATATAAGAGAATTTCTTATTAAAAATTAACTGCTGTTTTATTTTTAAAAATATGATAATGAATTATTTTCTATACACTTTAAAAAAATAAAAAAGGAGGAAAAAAAAAAAAAGAATAAATAAAGACAGCATCACAAGTTTCAGAATCTCATTTCCTTATTCTTAACAGCAAGTTTCTTAATGAAAGTTGCAATGTAAACTAGTAAGCACTACTCTGATCAATGTCAAGTTCATAACACAGATTTAAATGAACTCGCCATTAAGAAAACACATTTGTTTAAAACAGGGGAATTATTTTTATTTACTAATAGTTTGTGATAAACGAAGGTAACAAAGATTTCACCATCACCAGGTCCTTAAATGAGGTCAGCAAAAGTCAAAATGTCAATTATCTTTGAAATTTGCATGCTACTAAAATAGAAAACCTAATATGGTAAATTGATTGTAAAAGGTAAACCAGTGGCTTGGTAAAAGAGTGGATGCTTTTCAAACCCATCATCCATTGTGTCAAATGATACACACGTATATAGTGTAATGATACACACGTGTATAGTGTAATGATACACACGTATATAGTGTGTTGCTAGATTGTATATAAATATAAGAGCATTAAAAGAGACTGTTTTAAAAATGGTTTTTAAGCTTCTACTTCTACCTACCAAATTTATAGAAACTAATTAAAACTAAGTATAAACAAACACACACATATCATAAATATATATATAATATAAATAGTCTGAAGCAACTATTCCATGCCCACGGTGTCATAGATTATTCCGAGCAAGGATCGGTCTAACAAGCCACCTAAGAGCTCACCGTAATCCCATCCCCCCCCCCGCCCGCCCCTAACCGGATGATTCGATGGTCCTTGACTTCGACGGACGAACAACAATATATATAAATATATGTAATAAAAGTGAATTTTTGTATTTGTTCCACATACGTTTTTACATGGATTGGTGGATCTTCACCAAACTTAGTACACATACACTTGATTATCCATATTCAAATACCAAAGGAAAGGGTACTAAACTCATAATATCCATCCCTCTGGGGCCCCATTATATTTTTCCTCATACAAGCTATACAAATATCAATAGGCTTAGACAACACTATAGGTTCTATGTGAATTCATGGATCTATGCTTATCTTGATAGCAAATATCAATACCCTTCATTGTCCGTATTGAAATATCGGTGGATTTAAAACTAATAATATCCAATCCATGCAGGGCCGATCTAGAATTTTCTAGAAAGTTCGATTATTTAAAATAGCATCATCTATTTAAACCAATTTAAATGGGACAAATTTTAACTCCATAATTTATCTAAATGTTTTATAGCCCCCCCCCCCCCCCCCCC